GTGGGGGGGGGGGGGGGGCTTCTATTATTTCCGCTGCAGAACTACTACGAATCGTAGTGTCTGATCAACACTTACGCACTGCCAATGCCCCTCATTTTGTGTGACTACACGCCCCGACTTGTTCGCTATTTGCTTGCCATACCTCGTCACAGTACCTACTGCTGGTTTAATCCCATTCTTATCTTCTCTCTTCACGCACACACACTCATCATGGCTTTATATTTGTAATCGCCTTGTATAGCATATTTATTATAGCATTGATGGGCTGCACCAGAGATATCATAATCAAACCAACGATCCATAATAGCAAGAAAAAATGGTCAAGGGAAGACTCTTGAAAAAAAAGGGAAAAAGAAGAAGAAGAAAAAAAGGAAAAAGGAAAAAAGACAAGAAAAAACCAGAGGAAGAACGAGAAAAGAATATCTACTTGAGATGGCGCTAAAATTATAAAACCCCAGGCGAGAAAATCGACGAAAGAAAAAACAAGGGGAGAGGGGTTAAGTGTACATGTATGAACATATTCCGAGCTATACAACACCAAGATCAGATTGCACGGATTCGAACAAAGAGCTCTGGAGGGGGAAGCAAACTAGAATTTGATTCGACGTCTTGCGCGACACGCTTTGATTTTAGAGGAAGGGGCCTTCTTGGGTTGAGCAGGTTGTGGGGGGGCATTCTGGGAGGCGGCAGAAGCTTGGGAAGAGGGCGCGATCTGGACAATCCCGAGTTGTCGGTCGCGTTGAATTTGCGCGGCATCGCGGGAGCTTGCCGACGGCGCTTCCTTCCCATCGTCACTGCTCGGGCTAGCGCCCGTACTCTCCTGATCTGTGTCTTCTCCTTCCGCGTCCTCATCCTCATCTTCATCTGCATCCGCATTTGCATCTACATCGTCCGTCTTGGCGGGTTTCGTGGCGCTCGCTTGGCCAGTCGTTCCTCCGAATGGTTGCGTGCGCGCTGGAGATGTGTCAAAGTAAGCATTCAGAGAAAGAGAGGGGCGAAAAAAAAGCATGGATGCGCTGAGCACAAGGGTGGAGATGCCACAAAGGATGGAGGATATAGGTATCTCATAAAGAAAGTTCACTGACGGTCCGAGCCTTTCAGGACACTCTTGCCGTTATTCTTGGGATCAAAAAAAAGCTTGGGGTCGGCAGTGGGGCTCTGCTTTTGGAAAAGTCCAGCAAGCTCCTGGTTCTTGGGAGCCTTCTGACAGTACAGACTGTTCCGGTCCGGCTCCGAGGATACCGTGTAGTCGGGGAAGGTGTTCCGTTCAGCCTGTCGATACTGCTTCGCTAATGAGATCAGTTGGTCTCGCACCGCCTTGTCTTGGAGCTGAGTCTTAGCTGCGTCGATGATCTCTGATTGTCGTCATGGTACAAGAATACAATTAGCAATTTCTCTACTTGTTATCTAGTCTTCTCTCCTCTTTAAAGAGGAATCAGGTAGCATCTCGGGGACGTGTGTCACTTACTGTCAGCCATATCCTGTTGGGCGCATTCTGGGGCACCCGCCAAGAGTGGGGTGACTGCCTCGCCGGCGAGAGTTCCACAAATCTCGCCCGGACAGCCAGCCAGGTTGTGTATGTTTTCAATCACTTTCGGGTGCGAGTTTTCGTCACTAATTTTGCGTGGCAAAAGGGCCATCGGGTATGTTGTTGCCGATGAGCGGGGGACACGAGTACTTCTACTGCTACTAGACTTGATCATGATGAAAAATATGAGGAAGGTCCACGAAAGCATGCTTGGACTGGGAAGCCTCATGATGATGATGATGCTTCGAGATTACTAGGATAGTCGTGGGGAAGGAGTTCTTTGGAACAAAAGCTTTGTGTTCAGAGGGGAATTGGTGGTATCAAACAAGTAGGAGTGAAGGTGAGCAGACTGCCTGGAGCTAGCTGAGAGGGGGGGAAGAGGATACGGGGGTAGTCTTATAGCCTGATGCAAAAGTCCCAGGGTTGGGCAAAATCGCAGAACTCGGGGAATGAGTGAGTGTGGATAAGGCTCATCATTTGCACAGTTCATCTCGCCCCATTAAGGGTGGTGATATATCATGACTACTGAGTCGTCTCAGGGAGTCATCCGGATGAATACAAACGGAAGACACAAAGGACTGGATGGCAGATTCTGAGGATCTTGTTCCTTTCTGTGTGTTATTCATCATGAGCTTCTCAGGGCATCCGCCAACCATCCATTTCCTCTAATCACTAAGCACATCGTTGCCATACATACAAGACGGATATCATTTATTATACTCGGTGAAGATGGTTATTAGTCAAGCGTCCATGGCCAAATGAGAGTCCGGGAAAAAAGAAATGCTAAGGTTGGCCTGACGATCTCTCCTGAGCAATATTCTCACGCTCCACCATCATCTACTGCTCACTAACGTCGATGACTCATGTCTCTCTGGATACAGAGAAAGTTCCTTCGCAATCTCCACCACGTCCTGGTGCTACAGCCATCACAGCTAGCCCGCCTGAGATCCCGCAAAGGCTCATCTACCTTTGCTTGCTTCGAAAGTGGTAAGACCTGAGCTTTGGAGTGCCGAGCTATGTTCGCTGGCTGCTCTTTTGTATAAAATCATTGGGAATCAATCCCAAAAACGTCGCCCCACTGTATCGGTCCGATGGTGTAGTTGGTTATCACACTCGCTTCACAAGTTCAAACTTTGTTTGCAACTGGCGTCCACAAGAGGATGCCTTGCTTCGGCCCGGCGATCGCGAGAGGTCATGAGTTCGAGCCTCATTCGGATCATTTTTAGAACGTTGAAGGCTAAATGGCCGTACATTTTGCTCCATCCTGGAAGCACCTCAGTGAGCTAGAGGTAGCATACGCCAGGTTATGCAGAGATTTATACAGTTGCTGGGTGTGGAGAAAATGGATGTTCAAGTGCCAATATCTTGGTTTGTTGGCTAAAAATTCATACATTTTCTTTGGTTACCCACCCACACATCCATAGGGGTTTTTTTCTGTCTCTACCAGGGATGTGTCAAAGTTGAGATCAACACCTCTACTAGAAGCAGGGCCCTGACAGAATATCTCACAGGATGTATACATTTGGGTATTGTTTTTCATGCAAACAACTGCTGCTTCAATTAGCTCATGGGCTTCTCACTCCTGAGAAATCATTGTCAATCTCGCTAGACAATCTTGATTCAAAATCAATGGTGATGAGATGAACACCAGAAAGTACTTTTGTGTATAAAAAAAAACTTAGGCCCAGATGATTGGTTCAGGGATTATTGCAAGCCAGTATTTACTGTTGAAGATCTGATTTCATGTGATCTGGATTTCACCAAAAGAAGCAAGTCAATAGATGGTCAAAGCATTGGAAGATGTAAGGAGAGGAGGAATTCCCATCACCCAGATTGTAAGTATGCTGTTCCATCACTGAATTGCACAAGATGTGTGTGTATGGACTGTTTGGGACTGTGGAAGCAATTCTAGAACCAAACTTGGGGAGCTTCATTGCATGGACTAGCTCAGTGATAAGGGTATCAGTCCAGGGATTCTCTCTATATAAAACCCATGCAGTAATTAAGAGGTAGAAGGAATATAAGGAAACAGTTCAAAAGTTTCTTTGATAGCTCAGAAAGAAGAGGAGCAGGCTAGGGATTCTCGTCTGAGCTAGGGATTACATTGTAATAACTGGTGAATAAATTGTGAACACCTAGTTAGTATGTGTCATATGCTGAGTTATCCTAATCAAACAAAGCTTTGAGCCTAACCAAAAGGCTACGAGACTGGCTGAACCATCCAGTCCAGTTAGGATGTTACAATGTCACATAACTACCTGTGACAGTATTGGGGTTTACAAAGATTCCCTAACCTGGAGCTTCTATTTCTAAATTTAAAACTTTGTTTGGTGATACAAATTCATGACGGGCAGGTTCCCACCTTCAAACAAAGTTTGACATTTATGCTCCGTACCACAGCAGGCTAGAAACTGTCACTGGGAAAGAGTTTGTTTTCTTTTTCTCATAAGAAATCATTTTCCCCAGGATTGAGTACCATATGTTCCCAATCCTGGAAGTTCCATAACCCCAACATGAATGGGTGGACTCATGTGATGAGCCACCTCAACAAGCAATTCAACTTGAACCTCACTCACAGAAAAATCAAGATCACAAATAATAATCTATGCAATCTGTATGCCAATACCAAGCTCTTGTTTGAGAAGAGTAGTTTTGGGGGGGACCTGGAAAATAAGACTGTAACCGGCAACAGCAAGACTTGGGATAAGTTGATAAAAGCCCATTTCAGCCACAGATTTGGTAAACTTATGGGAAAGTCATTCCCATTCTAAAAAAATGGAGGTCCTCAGCAGAACCTTTTCAAGGTGCAGAATAGCTGCCAAGGAAATTAAATACTTGAAAACTCCCCAGCTGCCAAGAATTAGCAGCCAAGTGCCACCATGCAAAAAAAAGAGATCACCAGCACCTCTTTCAAGCAATGAACATGGAGATGGAGCTTCACTGTTATAAGAAGGATCACACAAGTCCAAGAACCATTCCATTAACTTGGGGGCCTCACCATGGCACTCAACAATCTCACTGCCCCAAAAAGCACTCCAGGAGTCCTCACATGGCGGGAAGGAATTGACCCATTTTTTCATGAAAATTTGATTGGTGTTGATCTCAAAACCTGAATCTAAAATAGAAAAGAATTACACAAAACCAGCCAGAAACTTTCCTGTATTGTCAATGGCATACTCGCTGGGTGGCTGAGGTTGAAAGTGGCTGAAGTCACAAAAAAGTGGTCCTGATTCTGCAAGCTTTCTTTTGTTGGCTGTATTGAAGCTGAAATTTGCTTGTTTCTCATCAAGCTTGTTCATGAACAAAGGGTTGCCCTATTGTTGAGATGGAAGCATGCAAAGTACCAATTATCATACTTGGGGACTTGAAACATTTCTTTTGCAAATAAAGATTCTGCACTGCAATTCAAACCTATGTCAAAAGACTGGCCGGGTCAAACAACTCCAGAGCTTATGCAAATACGTATTGACTTTTCCCTGATCTTAGTCACTTTCCCCAAAACCCAAGTGGTTGTTCCAACCTGGACTCTATTTCAATGAATTTGTTTCCAAAATATACTGATGTTGAGAATCGATTATCAATTCTGAAAAAAATGCTAGTCCCAAATCTGTGTGAGAAGAATCAGTCACTCACTTCCTGTGTGTTCACCTTGGTTTAATGTTGGAAACAAAAACATTGCCTGATATAAGGGGTCTTGACACACTCCATAAGTCAGGAGGTGGAGTCTTATAGAAAGCTGTTGTGATTGGCTCAACTTTCATTGTAACCCCATCCCAACCCAAGTTCATTTTTCCTCAATAGAAGATCAAATATGGGCTAAATCTTGGCCTGTTTCTGGCCTCATACAGCCTAGGGAATTGTGCAATTATCAAAGTCCCCAGCTTTGGGTGTGCAGAGAGTGGCATCATCAAGGAAACAAGAAGTGACCAAAGTATAAAAAAGCTGAAGAAAATATTTAAAATATCACAAGGAGACACTTTCATAAACAATCCTGTTTCCAAGATGAAACTCAGTAGAAAAAAAAGGCAAAGAGTTTTCATTGAGTATCAAATTATAATTCAAAAGATTTTTGAAAAATGTGTGTAAAACCAGTATTGAAAACTGGTTCCAGAAGTAAAAATCCCACTATACACTGCAAGCACAGCAGGTCTGTGTTGTTGGGGAATAGCCTCAGCACATGGTCCCTCATTTGGGCCAGATGCTAGGTCTTGTGGAAGGTGAGGGGTCAACAGCAGACTCCTGTAACACACTGATCCACATCTTCCTGAGGTGATAAGAGCCTGGTAACTGGCTATAGAGACAGAGAAGCTGAGATCTCTTTGTTTCGATTCTATGGCTTCAGCCTCCAGGTGCATATGCTGTATCAAAAATGACTTTAATTAGAGTATCTAATGAGAGGACCTTGTGATGTGTACTTGAGAGCTGAAAGTTGGTTGCATAAGCTTTGAGGGGTGCTGTCTTTGTTGAATTTCCAACAGGAAGGCCAGGATTGGTCAAATGAATTTGGGGAAGATGAATGGTGGTCAGGTTTTCTGTAGGAAGCTGAGAGTTGTCAGAATTTCCTGAAGGATGCTGAGTGTTGATCGAATTGCCTGCAGAAAGCTGGGAACTAGTCAAATTGCCTCTGGGAGCTGAGAGGACTTTTTCAGATTTCCAGTGGTAGAATTGAGGTGGAGTGTGCAGGCAGGAGGATAGTAGTGTGAGGGATATCTTGACCATATCCCTGATTTTACCACTCCCAAGGAAGATCTAGAATCAGCTTATGCTGCACCTGGATCCTGAAAGTATATGTCACATACCCAAGTTTCTGGTGAGTTTTCTGGTTTTCATTTTTTTCTGTGTGCTACACACCTGTCAGTTTCATTTTAAGAAGATTCCAAGAGAAAATAAAGATATATTTCAGTTAGACAGGAACCAAAAAGGAGGAAAAAGGAGGAGACAATAATGAAGAAAAGGAAATAAGATGTACATAGAGGATCAAGACAAATGGAATCAGGAAGGGGGAAAGAGAATAAAGAAAAAAAAAAACAATCCACCACACAACTCACAGAAGATTAAACTGAAGAAACAAATCAGCAAGGAGAAATAAGAAGGAGATCGAAAAGAGGGAAAATACCACAGGTCCTTCAACTGGCAGCGGGGTGAGATCTTGGAGACTACTCTTGACAGTTCTTGGAGAATTGATGGCTGAGGCAGGGAGGCCTTGGACTAGGTTGGTTCCACACAAGATCTGAGGAGAGGATTCCAGAGGGATCCTTGTGAACAAAGAGACGGAGCTGCATATGCAAAATTCTAAGCCGTGTGCGTGGGGCTTACATCTGACACATTTTACCTAGATGTCACAAGTTATGTAGCATACCAGGATCACTGCGCGTGGAATGATTCTTTTCCTCATCCTTCCACATTCCTCTCTCATTTCTCCAGGTATGTAGTTTCTCTATTTTGTCTCTTTTCTATTTCTTTCATGTTTATCTTCTTGTTTTTGCTTCATTTTTCAGCATTTTTCATTTGCTAATTAACCAGCCTTCCACACCCCTCTCTCATTTCTCCAGGCATTCATCTCGTAATTTTCTACTTGGTTTTGAGTGAGCTCTGGCTCCATCACTTTTCCCAAACTTGGTAACCACAGGTTGACAGCACCTGGCTACAGAATCATACTACCAATAGAGTAGCAGTGTCATCACCCTGACCATGTTCTCGCTTGCAAATAGGGACCTTGCCCACAGAAGAGATAGTACCTGTAGATATGCTTGCAACATGGGACAAGTACTGAGCTGGCATGGTTTTCTTGAGGAAACAGTGATGTCTACTGGTTGATAGCATTAGAGCTACTTTCCTAGGCCTTCCAAACAAACACCTGTACATGGGTGCCGCACGTGGGTGATCACACCCAAATACAGGTGTTTGAAACAGGTGAGGGGAACACATGTGACACATGGGTGATTTCTGCACAGTGCTACGGGGGAAAATATGTGTTTATTACAGGAGAAGGTGAGAGGAAATCACCAGGCCAAAACAAAAGGCAGCATGTAAACATTTCCACGTTAGGTAAAGGTAATTTGTGCATATTTCTTTTACTTTGGGTCTGGTTAATCAGGAAAAAGAGTTAAAAGATGGGTAGGAACAAGAATTTTACTTTATCTACAAGTTAGCATTAAACTTTATCAGGTCAAGTGGTGAGGAAGGGTACCTCCAAAGAAATGTCACCATGCTTTGACA